TCATGTTGGTCATTTTTTTATTTGGAACATTTGTCTTAATGTAAATTGCTTTGACAAAAAATGTCTTTTTGTTGACTTTTAAAATGACATGTAATGTTTTAGCTCATATCTCTCAAATGAAGCATTTTTGCCTTGAGCTTAGAGAGACAAAGTTGTAGAGAATTGAATTTCCTTTAATATGGGCTTTGGGTTGAGGAATTTCTGATGTAGTATGTGAAAGTTGTGCTTGGTCAAAGTTGAGTTGACTTCTCCTAAAGAAAATCCTAATTTAGTAACTTTTGACTTTTGAAGAATCTTGAATTTTCTTGATGAATCATGATCAATACTTGATAAAATGATAAATGTGAATTAAAAATGTTGATGTTGACCAAAAATCTTGAATTTTGACTATAAATTGGTCAAAGTTGACCTTTTGTCCAATACAGTTGATTTTCAATCATCTGACTAATTGACTGAGCAAATTTGTATTTCAAGGCTTAAAATTTGGTATGAAGATACTTTGAGACATATGAGAAACCATGAAGTCCACTTGACACATTAGAAACTCAATTTCCTTTGAGAAAAGCAAAACCCTAGTTATAAGTCAGCTGCTTAGGAGGAGATTTTGTCTAGTCAACCCTTGAGTAGTCTTGAGTGTTTGAGACCTTCATGTGCATGAGGAGGTATCTTGAATTAATTTGTCTTGAAAATGGGAGGGCAAATTTTGAGGTACAACACCCTCGTTCTTAGTCCGGGTGTGTTAATAGCGGATATTTTGGACCAAGCGTGCAGTTAATTAAAATATACTTCGTAATCCTTTCGAAAAATTAATTGTTGAATTAATTTAATTACAAATATGGTTTATTGTTGGTTGAATGTTTTTAGTGTATTAATTGTAAAAAAATCTTATTAAATGCATGATTACAAATGATTTAATGCAATAAAATTAATAATATTTGAATGAGTTAAAAAAATATTTGTTTTTTATGATAATAATAAATATAACATTGAAAATATATATAAAAATAGAAAATATAAAAATAAGAAGATCAATAAAAGAAATAAATTAAAAATGCAAGGAGATGAAAATAATGTTAAGGTAGTAAACATGGAG